AGATCAGTGAGGATGACCACCCACCGAAACACGCACAGTGACCCACACCCGCGATATTTGATGAACTTTAGACTTCGCTAATGCTTTCGTTTCCCCGGGTGTAAATAGCCGGGGGGAATTAGTACCCTCGCACGGCGCTTCTGGGGAAAAAGCCATAATTAAATAAAATAATGTCAACATAAACACTTATCTGATAAATCAGAACACACAAATGAAATTTGCAGTCGTGTAATACATACATCCTCAGCCTGAGCAGAACCTAATATTTGCCTTGACAGGGCTAGTTTTCAAACATGTAGTCGACATATCCATATAGTCACCACACGACGACGATGTGCTACACACTTTAAAATGAGTGCACACAGGTCCATTTCCCCATGACTTGACTCTTGCAGCGGAGCTTCCACGACCAGGGTTGGTAGGTTGCTGAATAAATAAGCCAAACATTGTTATAAACGGCCCTTTGATGTCTTTGTTTCAAACAAAGGAAACAAAGGTTATGATAATATTATTTGCTTATTTATTCAGCAACTTACCAACCCTGTCCACGACTCACAACTTGGCGACATCTTTTGCAAGTGGGTTTTGAACCATCAAGTGGATTTTTAATAAAATTATCCCAGATGCTAGGCTCTTCAGAGTGTTATATTTTCACAGCATTAACCATATTAAATATATCTGCCAACTACAAAAAGTACAAAACTAACTAAATAAACTGATAAAACTTACAAGACTGTTTGACCACCCCATGTGATATCCATATTTTGTTAGGCATAGGCATGCATTTCTATTAGTAAGTAACCAGTATCAAAGCAAGATGAACACGCAGTAAACTTTAAGACAAACTGTCAAAGCTGTCTAATAAATAGCGAGTGTTGCATATATGAACGTTATAGTCAGCTAGGGGGATGATTTAACAGTGTTTACAGTAAGGGCTGACCATCCTAGGTGAGTTTGAAATCCTTATTTCAAATTTGTTTTTGTTTACATGAGAGGAGGACCAACCATTCTAGAAGAAATCTCGCTATTAACAATCTGAGATCTCACCTAGTAGGGCCGGAAATTTGGTAGGCTTTCGCGCATGCACAAAGCCAAATGACCTTTAAAAAAAGGCCAAATTCTACTAAATTAGGCCAAATTTCATTTTTTTGAAAACAGCCAAATCTTATTAATATTTTCGACTTACATCGATCAGGGGCCGGTTGTATAAAAACGTAATTAGCGCTAACTGTAGTTAGCGTTAATCACTGTAGTTAAATCCTTAACTGTAATTAGTTAACTACATGACTTAACTGCGTTGCACAAAACGTAGTTAGTCGGATAGTTAACTAATCACGTAGTTAACTGTGCGTGGGGCTTGCGTGGGGCGTTTAAACACAAAATTACATAAAGTAAGCAGCGAGTAACGACCGCTGACACACATTTTCAACATGATTGTGGACTCGTATTTTGCAAATAGGCGGGAATTTTATTCAAAACACTAGAAAACAGTGAAAAATAAACAAGAAAACAAGGAAAAACCGCCACAAAAATCATAAAAGAATGCAGTTTTTCCTTGAGATGTCTACGTTAAACCAAGGTATAGCTGTTTGGCAATTATATATCAGTGTTTCTTGGTGTAATGGACCATACTTCGTCTTCGAGAAATCGTCCTGTGCAAAAATATGTTCTGTTTTCGTATTAAAACACACCAAAGCGATAGCGTGTGAAGAGTTTATATTGTCAGGAAACATTCACATGGAAGATAGCGATTGAAAATCTCAGGTAACCGTTGCTTTTCATTGTTGTTTTACTGAAAAATGTTGTTCACTCCTATACAAACGCCATTTTTAACTACGTTTTGGACAGTTAACTATACCCTAAAGCATAGTTAACTTTAACTACTTTTTAACTGCAGTTAAGGCTAACTACACTTTTATACAACCGGCTTAACTACGTGATTAAAGTTAACTATTTTTTAAGGCTTTTTAACTACTTTTTAACTGCAGTTAGCGCTAACTACGTTTTTATACAACCGGCCCCAGGTTATCTCTACTCTAGGGTTATAGAGAAGTATGTGCAGTATGTTGATAGATGAAAAAATTTAAATTATACAAAGTAATGTTCCCAAAAGTCCAGAATGATTTTTAATGCAAATTTTGTCATTTTTATTTTTTATGCAAAAATACTATGGGGTGGACCGCTGCAAAGACATAGCTACAATGTTGCCATTGGGTAGTTTTTCAGCTTTATGATTGGCTGATTTTCCTGAGATCTAATTGAGTGTGAATAGAATTAGGTTATCGTCTGTCAACGGTACACATTCTTACATTCTTACAACATGCTTTATGGTTGACATTCTTTTATAATAAATTATACTAAAAAATAGTGAAACTTTCCTGTCACTTGATAAAAAGCCAAAATAGAGCCAAAAGGCCAAACATTTTCTTCAAGGCCAAACCAGAAATAAAAAAAGCCAAAATCGAGTTATTTGGCCGCAAAAAGGCCAAGTTACTAACCCTGCTCAAACTCAGCATTTAGAACTCTTTCACTTTAAAAACAGTATTCAATTCTATGATGGTTATATGATTTTCGATTTTGTGAGAAAATAAACGAGTTTTATGGAAACCATTTAATAAATAATGTTTTAATAAGGAAGTGAGGCAGCCCTGTCATGTAGTAAGTTCGATTTTTTACCAATGTATTAACCACAACGTGAATACAAGTCCTACTGGTAGGACTAGCTGTTCAGAAAGTTTCCTGATGCAGTAATGCACTATATTCTTGACAATTTTAATATTTTAGCTTTATCGAAGAGCGTGTGAAATGTGACAATAGGCATAAATTGTCGCAGCAGGAACAGCTTATCTATTTTAGTGATTTAGCTACAATGCTTTCCAGTCAAAATGTCCCCAGGTCAAAATGTTCCCAGGTCAAAACGTCCCCAGGTCAAAATATCCCAAATAAAGTCAAATCTGTTGGCTAAATGTCACATATTCTAAGTTTTAAATAAATTAAGTTTTAAATTGTATCTTGAACACACTGAACCATTGTTTCAGAAGTTAAAGATCTTGAATATCTTTAAGATCAATGACTATTTAAGTTCTTTATTTATGTACCGGTGGTTTAAACGTCTACAAAATTTACCTGAATTTTTTAATGGCTACTTCGCGCAGAACAATGAAGTGCATCATTACAATACTCGAAATGCTAACAAATTTCATGTAAATTTTAGTAGAACAAATTATGCAAAACATTCTATTGTTAACAAGGGAGTTAAGATATGGAATTCACTAGATAAAGAAATTAGCAGTATTACGTTTTATTGTACTTTTAAGAAAAAATCAAAAATATTTTTGTTCAATTATGCTCATTATATTACTTTTACTTTAAAATTTTCCTTACTTTATACTTGTATTTGTAAATATTCCTATATTCTTTCAACATTATATGATTGTAAAAATATTATAGAACTAGGGGCCTTTGAACAAAAAGCCTGAAAGGGTTTCATGAAGGCTCCTAGCCCATCATATTGTATACTTTGAAGATTGTAAATATTAACTTTTCCATATGGGCAAATAAAATTCAATTCAATTCAATATTCTGTCAGTTTTAATGTAATTTTAAACTATTTTCACCTATAATATTTTTGGATTTCTTCTGATCTGATCAAGGAACTAAATCAACCTTATTTCAACCACAGTTTGATATGTTCAACCGGGGTGGTTGATGGAAATTATCGAGTGGAAATTTATTAGACCTATCCTGGTTAGGTCACAAACCTACAGTAGTTATCAATCCAATTCCATATTATACTAGAAAATACATGCATGCAGAAACCCTCGCCTTGCTGACAAAACCGTTGTATTTTCCGAACATGAAGTATCTAAAGTAGTTGTTATGGTAACACGATAATTTTTTAAGAATATTCTTACAAATGAAAATCGCCTAAAAATATCACTTTTAATTACAAAATTATCAATTTCTCAACATATATATGTTAGGTATGTAATTATACGTAATACAAGCTTCAATTTAAGGTAAAATTCAACCACAAACAATTCACAAAACGTTTTAAAGTGTTCTTTATAAAACTAAACTGCCTTTAACTATTAAATGGCTTTATCGATAAACTTTGAGTTTGCAATAAAATGATTTCAAATTCTCGCTTGCAAATAACTTTGCTTTATTTTTTATTTAAAAAATTCAATATAATAAAAAAGGGAATCAATATTAAAGATACACTGAAATTATATGCTGTCTTGTATGTCTTGTTTAGTTGTTTGATATACGCAAAAGCCGTCGGGTTTTAAAGCCATTATAAAATCAATATTTAAAACAAACTTACCTTCGTTAACGTCGGCTCCCTTCTTTTAGCTGATCCTTTGGCCCTTTCATTCTTGAAATTTACAAAATCTTGCAGAAATACGAGCAAAAATGAAGAATATTTGCAAGAAATTTGACAAATTTATCAATCATCAACTCATCAAATCAAGAAATGTTTGCTATTTCGCTGTCGTTATGCAGTCGTTATAATGCAAACTTTAAATTGGACCAATCAGTGTCCGTTATTCATGACAGTCCGCCATATTTTTGAGATCAGTGAGGATGACCACCCATCGTTGGTGACCGACGCCCGCGCTCATTGATGAACTTTAGACTTCCCTAATGCTTTTGTTTCCCCGGGTGTATATAGCCGGGGGGAATTAGTACCCTCGCACGGCGCTTCGCGCCGCCGGCTCGGGGATAACATTGGGCACATAATTATAACTTCATGCAGTTACCTTATTGACAATTTCGGCTGCAGATGTAAAAATTTCAGCAGCTGCCATTTTTTTCACAGCCGTTGAAATTCTTGTTGCTGTTGCTGCTCCTACATGTGGTGGGTCTACATGTGGCAGCTAGTGATCCCGGTGTAAATCCATCCGGTTTCTCCATTATTCTGGCCTTGCACCAAAGAGACTTATTCCGGATACTACATGTCCAACCTTTATTTCCATTGGCTTTTCATTCCTTTATTGTTATGTATAGCCTTTGCTGTCCGCCAATTTTTTCTTTCCTTTCTGTGACCCTTCTTCTATTACTTCGTACATTGTGACCATTGGCATATCGTCATACTGTCTTACAGTTTCATCTTCAATAGAAGATTCCGACAACTGTGGTGGGACATCAAAACTAATCATTACATCGTTGTAGTCCACTTCTTCCATAGATGTTTCATGATCTGGCCTGCTGGAACTCTTGCGGATTTGAGGCCCCTATAAACACACATAAAGAACATGCATCTAATGTTAAAAGTAATGATGTATCTACATCGTATTGTAGGCTATCATTAATTTTCCATTGATCAGCAATATTTGGAGGGGTTTTAATTAAGTGGTATTAAAATTAAAGGAGATACGAAAACGTCAAAAAATATGTTATAAATTTAGAATGTTTAGAAATCCAATGAACTAACATACATACGGCCTTTCACTCTTTAATCTTTCACAGGCTGATGTTAGCAATGCCATTATGAGAAACTCAAAAACTTGATGTCATTGCAAATCAAAAATTTTCCTTTTTTATAAAACATGCTTAAATTTTTCTTTTTTATAAGACATTTTATAAGAGTTACTTTCTATGCTAACCTTGAATGTGATACGATGGCGTGCTGTTATTTTCTGTCATTCACCTGAGACATTCCACCTGAGACATTCCAGGTGTATTTTGAACAAAAACTAGAGCAATACACATCAACAGGCAAATGTGTGTTTATCATGGGTGATTTAAACACAGACCTATTAAAAATTGATAGGTGTAATTATGCACATAATTTTTTATTATATTTACAAAGCTGTTCAATGATCCCTAGCATCGATAAACCCTCGCGCTTCCATGGGGAATCAGCCACAGTAATTGACAACATATTTATTAATAACCCTTCCAATGTGCTACAGTAGTTGGTGGAAACATAATATCTGATGTAAGCGATCATTTTTCGCAATTTTGTATACTAGATTCTATTACCGTCAGAAAAAAAACATCCAAAAACCCAAATATCGTGACTATTCATCATTCTCCGATACTTTATTTAGCCAAGAACTTTCAGAGATAAATTGGGATTTTGTCTGAACGGAACCAGAGAATAATCCTAACAAGTTATTTTCGACTTTTTAATAAAGTAAATAAATTAATAAATAAACATGCTCCTATCAAGACCATTTCTAGGCGTAAAGCAAAACAATTATTCAAGCCATGGGTAACTAGGGGAATAAGGGCATCCATTAAAGTTAAAAATAAGTTATTTCACACAAATAATTTAACTCAGAATAAAATATATAGAAACTATATTGTTACTTTACTCCGAGCCAGCAAAAAATTGTAATATGAAAAATACTTCAACTTGAATTACACAAATGAGTAAGAAATGGGAAGGAATAAGGGAAATTTTGGGACGTCATCGCAATAATAAAAATAATATTGGTGCAATGCAACAGGATCCTACTTCTCGATTAACATTTGATCCTAAAAATATATCTAATATCTTGAATAAACATTTTGCTACATGTGGACAACGATTAGCTGCCAAAATGCCACATTCTGAAAAACATTCTGATTACCTTCAACATACAAATAGCCTTAACTACACATCTCAACTAGATTCATTTGTTTTCATTCCGATAACTGAAAGAGATATTGAACTTGAAATTATCAAATACCTTCATTAGCCTTCCTTGGCCTTCCCTAGCCTTCCTTAGCCTTCCTTGGCTTCCTTAGCGTTCCCTAGCCTTCCTTGGCCTCCTCTAGCCTAATTCCCTAGCCTTCCTTAGCGTTCCCAAGCCTTCCTTAGCGTTCCCTAGCCTTCCTTAGCGTTCCCTGGCCTTCCTTTGCGTTCCCTAGCCTTCCTCAGCCTTCCTCAGCCTTCCTTGGCCTTCCCTGGCCTTCGTTTGC